CAGGCGTGTTGTGTGTGTCCCTAGGCTGTTTACCCGCGGGCCTGACGGGTTTCCGTAGTAGCGGTGACGACGGCGACCCCTTCTCCCCCTCCCAAAATCCCCCGCGACAGCCATCCTCGAGCCAAACAGTCGCACGAGGCACGGGGGGGATCGGCGACTGGCGACCGGCCTGGCAGCCCCTCTTGTCCTGCAGCCGACCTGAAACCCACCTGCGGTCCGCGCTGCTGACACCTCGTCCTGGCGAGCCCACCACCGGCCGCAGCCTCGGCCACATTCTCGCCGTCGTCCTGACGGCAACACACCCCTTGCAGACAGGCGCGCTGCGCTGCCTGCTGTGTGGAGCAAGCGACCTACAAGCAGACGATGCGTCGTCTAGCCCGGCCCCGCCGCGCCCCGCTGCGCCCCGCCGCGCCCCGCCACACCCAGTCCTGTTATATCTCGTCCCTTCTTCCTCCGCGCGGTCAGGACCGCATAGCTGAGCTGCAGCGGCCTCTTGCACGGCCCGCTGGATGTCTGCAGCACGATGTGGGTCACCCCCTCCTCCCCCCTCTCTCTTCCCCCTGGACCCTCTTCCCCGCGCAGACTAGTCGCGGCCCTGCCCAGCCGGCTAGCGGCAGCAGCATAGTTTCCCGACTTGTTTACATGCTCCCCCCCCCCCTTCCCCGGCGCCACTATCCGCGTCGCGGCTTGTTTACGTTCCTGGCCGCCTCGCCGCGGCCGGCCACCCGGCGGCCGGGCCGGCAGCCTCTCCGCGTAGTGCGTAGTCTGCGTAGCCTGCGTGTAGCGTAGCGGGAAATTTATCGGCGGGGCGATGATGGGGGCCGCCTGCCGGGTAGGCCAACAGCCCGGGCGCTGCGCACGGCTGCGCGCCGGCCGGCCTACCCACCGCGCCCGCCGCGCTGCTCACGGCCGGCGGCGGCGTGCTGCTCACGGATCTGCTCCGGCTGCGGCCAAGTCTGGCGGAACGTCCCGGCCCGGCCGCGCGCTGGGCTGCAGTTTCTCTCGGCCGGAGGCGCGGCCGCCGCTAGGGCCTAAGTGCAGGAGCCGCAAGGGCGTTGCGGCCCGGCGCCGTTATGGTGAAAGTGTTGCGTGCTCTCTGCCCTGCAGTCTCGCCCCTCCCATCCTTGTCTCTCTCTCTGTTTCTCCCTCTCCCTCCCTCCCCTTCTCTCCGTCTGGAGACGTCGCCTCCTGTATCAGACTGTCGCGGGCCGTGTCGGCGGGAGCGCCCGCGAGTTGCATCACTCCGCAGTCCCCCCCTTGGTACGCTTTCACGCCCCGCTCTACCAACCCCCGCCGCCGCCACACTGCTGCTGCTTGTGCCCCTCCTTCCATCCCTCCCTCCCTCTCGCCCTAGTGATCCGTGAGACGGTAGTGCCGGCGCACTGCAGGCAAGTTATCGCGTCCCAAGTTTTGGGGCATCGCAGAAACAGGAAAGCGCTCGCTTCCGGTCCTTCCGCCTGCCCTGCCCCGAAACTCTCGCGCTGGCGCCGGGCGGGGCGCGCTGACCGTCGCTAACGGCTCGGCCCGACGCCCGGTCCGACGCTCGGCCACCGCCTGCCCGTTTGCCTATACTCGTTGGCGCAGCCCTGGCCTGGCGGCCCTAGCAGGTCTCACTTTCGCCTGCATGTAGGCCTCGCCTGGCCGGCTGCCGAGCCGCGGCGGGGACCGCGCCGCCGGGGCTACTCTGTGCGAAAGTAGACAGATGAAGAAATGATAATAAAAAGAGTAATCGGTGGTTCAACCGGCCCTAAAGGTTCGTTGCCAGAGAGACGCGGGGCTACAGGGACGACCGCACAAAGCAAAGTTGTGGGGAGGAAAACTTTTAATTTTAGTGTCGTCAGGCTACTGCCATCTGCTGTCAGTAGAATGGTCGACTTGTTCGAAGGGTTCTGACGCACACGGCGCGAGGTAGTATTTTGCCAGACCCTCGTCCACGGTGGACCCTCCACCGTGCCCTCGCCTCTTCTCCCCAACTGAACAGAGTCGAAAACCCTCACGCTTTGTTTCAGCAATGTTTTTACCGAGTGTTCTCTCTTTTGCTGCAGGCCTCGATGGATCTCAAGAAGCGCCTGGACGAAGTGCGCCTCCTGGAGTCCAGGAAGTCAGCCCGCCTCGCCGACTCGGACACAGACTTCGCGCGGCTGGCGGACATGGGCTCCGGCTCGGAGAGGAAGAGGGCGTCCTCACACAGCATCGACGTCCCGGCAGTGCAAGGGTGAGTACCTGCGCGTGAATGTGTTTGCATCAGAGTTATTATACGTCTTTTAAAAAGGAAAGTTTTGTATAGCTCGTTCTCCTCTATCTTAAATATCGCTATCTGACACTGTGAAGTCGCCATCCACCCCCTGTGTAGAGGCTCAACCCCCTGCTGCGCGCCCCCTTGGCTTGGCTCTTAAAGGCTCCGGAGAGCGCCGCTGCGCTTGGATTTCCACTAGCCAGTTTTCTTTAATTTGCGGAGCAAGTGTTAAAAATATATCAGAAGTAAAATTCCTATAGCTGATCGCGACTAGGTTAGGTCCTGTGCAGGGATAATAAAAGAAAAGCGGGGCTCGTAGGTGTTTCGCTTTCCGCTCCAAGAGGGTGACTGCCGAAGGCACTCATTGGCTGGGGGAAGGTAACGCACTTTGTTATTGCGTGACTATTCGTCACGCACTCGCTCAAGCGGTGACAACGTTGCACTCTAGCGCGGTCGGGTCTTTGTTCGTCGCCCCGTTGGTATTAGTCAGCCCCGCGCCGCCGTTCCACGCCAGCCTGGAGTGAGTCACAGTAAGAGGCGCTCTGCAAGCGCAAAGCGCACCGCTCCCTATCGCCAAGCCTCTGCAGTTGCGGCCTCTGCGCCTTCGAGAGTCCTCCTCGGCCGCAGCGGCGATAGCTATGAGTCACATTTCTTTCTCTCTTACGTTTCCTCACGCAGTCTGCGCCACGGTCGGCCCGGCACGACCCGCGGGTGCGGTGTATATACGGCCATCGCCACGCTCTCCATCGTGTTCCGGGTGCTCTCTCCCCTCTTTGGCTCTCCTCGCACGACACGCCGCGGAGCCGCAGCGCGCGCAACGCGTGTCTCTTTATTGTCACGTGTTTAGTCACAGCCACGTCCCGGGCGCCGCGAAGTGCGTCCCGCTCTGCTACACACTTGGTGCTAGCTGCTTGTGCCGGTCCCTGCTGAAGTTGGGCAACGCGGCGCTATGAGGGTTCTGTCGCCACGCCTCGCCCCGCCTCGCCTCGCCCCACCCCGCTTCTGTATTTACGCAATGCGGATCACAGGGCCGATGCGAGTCGCAGCCTTGCAAGGCTGCTAGGACCGACCGCCCCAGTCACTTGAAACACTCATTTTCGTCCCCGACTGTAGCCGGATGAGTCGTGAGGCCGGCGGGTCGGGTCAAGTGGCGCCCGTGTTTAGTCTAGCGGAGGGAGCTGCAGTCGATAAGGACACAACGAACCAAGGAACTTGCTGGTGGCGGAGCGCCGTGCCCATGTGTCAGCACGGAAGGGCTCGGCGGAAATGGCGCCCTCCCCGACGAAGCTCTCCCCGACGTTAGGCTAGGTATGCCCCACGCTCCACGGCGCATACTCCACGGCTGGGGCGACGGCAACGTCAGTAGGGGAATGTCATGCGGATCAAAAATGGGGGCCGCGTTGGTCTTTTCAACAAGTGCCGCTGGAGCGCCAGCGGACGGGGCAAGCGTAGTGTCCGGGGGAGGGGTAGGATGGAAATTACAACTTTCTCGGCTAAAAAACCGTCCAAAACGGCGCCGCAGTGGCAGAGACACGGGCCTCGCAGAGCGCGAGGCCGTGCTCACCTCCGAGTCCTCCCCACTCCGAGGCGACCTTTAGGCCCTGCTGTGGCCCGCTGCCTCGTGGAGCCGAGGGCCGTCAGAGGGCGCCACAGTGCCACGCTCTGCGTGGCCAACGGGAGCTGGAGGGCTGCGTTTGCCACTGCGACAGGGAAGTCAGCTGGCTTATTTCGACTCCCCGAGACACGTGTTTCTGGTCAGTACTTTCTTCTTACTGTAAGTTGAAAGTAAAGCTGAGTCGTAACGATCAACAACACAAACTGAACCGCTCGTCGGCTCCGCCTGGCGGCGGCCCTCAGCCTCGCGGCCCTGGCCTGGCCGGCTCGCGCAGTGCCGGGGGGGACGCCGCGCTGCCGTCGCTGCCGAACGCCGTGGAGGCGGGCAACCCCTCGCGCGCGTGTGCTGCGGGCGGGCCTACCCGGTGCAGCGGCCGGTGCAGCCCCGCTGTTGTGCCGGCACTGCGCTGGGTGCACCCCCCCCCCTCCCCGGAGGTCAACGGCCGCCGCTGCACGGCGCGCTCATGCGCCTCGCCGGTGCGTCGCGTGCACAGTCGCTTCGACCGAAGCTGTAGCGGCTGAGCGCGGGCTCTGGGGACGGCCAAGGCGGCCGAAGACGTGTCCGGTCCGGCGGAAGTGACTGTGTAGTAGTATGCATGCGCCGCCGGGGAGTGGGGGGAGAGTAAACAAAGGCTCGCGTGCCCCCCAGGTGCACCGTGCACTCGGGCCGCCGCCGTGGCGCCCCGGGCGCACGGCAGCACGGCGCTGTTTGTTCGGCCAGCGAGGAGGAGGAGATAGATGCAAAAAGAAAGCCGGGGAAGTCGCTTTCGAGCTGTGTGCCGAGAAACTCTGTCGCGGGGGGGAGGAGGAGCGGGTTGCTGAGCCCGTGCGCATCCTGGGGGGCGCTCTCTGTGTTATTCTCGCTTTTTGTTGTTTCGGAGAGAGGGACCATGAGGGGGTTGTTGCTAAATGCGCGCCCCTTCTCTCCCC